CAAGGCCAGGTTGGACAGGGCTTGAAGCATCCTGGGATAGTGGAAGGTATCTCTGGAATGGGATGAATTTYAAGATCCCTTCCCACCCAACCCTCTCCAGAACTCAGTGATTCAATCTATGTATGCAATTTGCATTTATTAAAGGAATCTGGAGCCATCCAGCAGGAGCACCCAGGAGTCTCCATCACCTTTTGCTGGGAGCTACAAAAATGCAGTGTGAAAATGCAGCTCKGGTGTCAGAGCTGAGAATTTCACATCGAGGCAAGAGACGGCAGATGGGACAATCTGGTGGGCTGAGGAGCACGGCAAAGCAGTGAGACAACACTGGCTGCCATGGCAGACAAGACCAGTCAAACTTGGTGAGGTTTTGTTGGAAAAGAGGACATTTCAGGAAGGATTTGAGAGAAATGCAGAGGTTCTTTTGTAGCCTCTGAASTCCAGCTCTGCATGGTGACCTGGGTTTGGGATACAAGGTGTGGGTGGAGAGGGGATCTCTGAAGTTCTGTGTTGTCCTCAGGCTGCTGAATGTTGTACATGGGATCAGCAGGAAGAGGAGGGGGCAGGAAAAGAGGAGCTGTGGGAGAGCTCTGTGAGCAAGAGTTGGGAGGGGGAGGTGGAAGCACAGCAAAGGGTGGTCAGAGGGGAGAGGGGAAAAACAGGATGGGGCAAAATGAGGAGAAGGAGTGGCCAAAAGGGCAAGGAATGTGAGGGATGAAGAGGCACAGAGGATCTGGCAGAGGGCAGCAGCTTTAGGGAGCCAAGCACCTGGATCTGGGAGAGGGGACAGCACTTTCCCTGCCAGCTTTGATCCCACCTGGCTTACAGCCATCGTCAGGACCTCAGTGGTTCCCTGCTGAGACAGCCGAGGAAATTTGTGCTGAGGAGACTTCACTGCCAGATCCCTGCTGGTTTCAGAACATTTCCCAGGGATTCTCCAGTGCCTTTTGGAAAAGGCCTGGAGATCCCCTTGTAGAGAGCCAGTGGAATTTTGCTTAGAAATAGTCCAGTGAMTTTTAAAGGTGACCTGAAAATTAAATCCAAACTGGTTTGTTTTTCTCCCTGCTTTATGAAGGCAGTGAATTTTTCTCCACAGCCATGAGCAATCAGCAAAAAAAAACACAGATAAACCCAGTGAAAGCTGCCTGGGGGTATGGAGTGGGAATAATGAAGGGCTGGAAAGAAATGCCAAGAGAGGGTGCGGAGTCGTGGCCGCTGAGGGTTTCTGGGAACAGGTTGGACAAACATCTGCCAGGGAAGGTTGAAGCTGAGCGGATTTTGCTGGCGGCAGGTGTTGCTCCATCTGAGCGACCTCTCCRGGTCCCTCTGGCCTCATGCTCAGTGATCCTGCTTTTCTTCTATCAGAAATGTCAGCCCAGCTCTTCCCTCCCTCTGCTGGAGTGCGCAGAGCAGGTTTATCAGCTCAGCTCATCATTTTTTTCCAACATTTTTCACAGTTGCTCCATTCACCAGGGATATATTTGYTTATGTGGATACAAACAAGCAAAAAGTAAGATTTGAAATGTGAAAAAAAAAAGAAACAGCAATTTTCTCTATTTATCTTGTATTTTKCTGTCCCAGTTGTATCAGTCTCCCATGAAATCTTCCATCCCAAGGAATACCCTGRGGTGAGAATAACCCCATCCTGGAARATCTGGCCTCAGGCAAACTGTGGAAGGAGAAGGTAAAGGATGTAGATGGGAGCTGATGCTGTTCCATGTTTTTGTTGCAGTCTTTTAAAGGCAGCTCAGGTGTCCTGGCCATTTTACCCCATCCACAGGATCTAAATCCATATTTATTTTCCATATCCTGTTCTTCATGTTTTGTTCCTGCAGCCCAATCCAAATTATTCCAGGATCTGCAGCCCTGGAATCACAGACCAGAGTGCTTTCCCCAGCCCTGCCAAACTGAAGGAGATGGGAAGGTCCAAAAGAGACTGGTTTTCCCTGAGTTTTCCTAGAGAAAAGGTAAGGGGTGAAGGCTGGTGACACCGGAAACAGCCCTGTCTGTCCTACCGGATCTGGGCCCCTGTTCCTTGTCACTTGCCTTAGCAGTTCTTTTCAAACTCTGTCTCTTGCATTTCTTCAGAAAAACTCAGCACCTGGTTCAGCTCATCCATTATTCCTTCCAGCTGCTCTTCGCCGTGTCAGGGCAGGCATTGAGGAGGTGGAATTTATCCCGGAACAAGTCCCATTCTTTTCTTCCCTGGCCATTGACTCGGCCAACATCTGCTCCCGTAAACCCCCGCTGGCCCCACGGCACTGGTGATCCTTTATGGCTCCAAAGCATTTGGCATTGTGTCACACACAACCGAGGTGTCCTGAGAGAAGAAAACCCTCCTTCGGCTGTGGTGGAACTGGATTTGTGCACTACAATCCATCCTGCATTGCTCAGCAACAAGTAACAATCACAGGAGGTAAATCAAAGTGTTTTCTCTGTAACAATTTTTCACACACTCACATCATGAAACCTGGTGGGTTTAGCTCCCCTTCCCTGCCAGGCTCTGGGGAATCACCTAAAACATTGCAAGATTATTTGGTTTTATTTGTTCTGCTGTGGKTTTTTTCTTYTTTTGGGCACGAATGCTTTTCACCCACTGCTCTGACAGAGGGGCTGCACTGRAAGCAGCATGGATACCTATGGATCCCATATGGCTCCCCTGGGAAACAGCTCCACAATAAATACCGGAAATAAGCACAGAGCAGAGGGAAGGGGCACCGGTTTTAACAGCAAAATCCTCACTGCCTTTGCACGGTAACAAGTCCTGGGATGTGGGAAGGAATATATTAGGAAGGACAAGAAGTGTTTTGAGAGATGCAGCTGCACTTTGCATGCCATTCTGGTTCTGGTCCCCTTCCCACTGGGAAGAGAAAAAGAGAGGATTTTACATTTCATTTACAAGGCATTTCGGGCTCTGCGGCTCCTGAAGGAGCCGGGCGGGAAGTGCCACAGAGAGGGAAATGTGACAGTGCAGACAAAAGGTGCCTGCACAGCAGCTGTGCTCGCATACAAATGCAGCCAGGTAGGAGCACCTCCAGGAACTCCTCTAGGAATTCCTCCAGGCTCTGTGAGCCCCCTTTGCCGTCAGAATGGGCTCTGCAGCCAAGCCCTGTGATCCAGAAGCCACGAAGGAGCCAGGCTCACTCAAAGGGTGCCAAAGGAATTCAGGCTCTGGCTGCACCAGCACAGGGCAGGGTCTGGTTCCTGCACTCCCTGGGACCAGAGCGGGGTTCCCAGCCCCGTGAAAGAGTGGGAAAACAAAAACAAAGCGATTTGGACTTTTAAAGAAGCTTTCAGCTCCAGCTTTTACAGGATTGAAGGCATCAAAGGGAAAGAAGAGAGGCAGCTCCTTTCAGAGAGTTGCYGGTTCAAGCACAGGAAGGAAGGGGCTGACACAAACGGTTTCTGTGGCAAATGAGGGACCCCGGGGGCTGCTGGCTTGTCCTGAACGCTCCCAAGAAAGGCTGGAGAGCAGGATGAGAAATTTTAAAGGTAACACACACACAATCATAGGGAATAAGGACAGAAGAATGGCTACAGTGCCTCAGCCAAATCCTCACACAGCCCATCTCTCCTACAAGACCATTATACGGGAAGGCAGGGAACACCAAGACCAACACCATGTGTTCCCACAGCTCTTTTCCCAGGAATCCGCAGCTCAGGGGCTTCTCCAGACGGTGGCAGCCCTGTCTTGGACAGGCTTGTCCCCTTCTCCCATCGATTCCCCCTCCTAAACCCACACAGTTCCTCATGGATGGTTCCCAAGAGCTGAACCTCAGCAGCGTCTCCGTCCTTTGTTCTGTGCTTTTATCATATCGCGGGATGCCCCCTAATGCTCACAGCAGAGCATCCCGGGCTCCAGCAGCGTCTCCTCAGCACATCCTGGCCCCAGAACCTTCTCTCTAGTCCCTGTGGCACATCCCTGGCCCCAGCAACAAACTTTCTGGATGTCTCATTCTAGAGCACATCCCGGGCTCCAGAAGCTTCTGTCCAGGCTCCTTGGCACATCCCAGGCTTCAGGTCTAGTCCCCCTGGCACATAGTGGGCCCCAAAATCATCTCTCCAGTCCCCCTGGCACATYCTGGGCTCCAGAATCATCTCTCCAGCTCTGGCACATCTCCTCTCAGCCACTTTCATTATGAAACTCAAAGGTTACAAAAGCTTTGCTGGAGCAGATGGAAAGGTGAATTCAGCGCCAAAAAAGCTCAAATTCAGGCATGGAGGCAAAAAAATGACATCAAAGAATGTGGATCTTGTTGGTTATGGGCTGTGAATTTGCTGTTACCACTCAGGAGCTGCTGTGGATCATTTTTAGGTGCCCAGTGGAAGTTCAGCACTTCCCAAATGTGCTGAWAAGGAAACAGGAAATACTGACAGTAACAGACCCCTCCCAAATTTCCCCTTGTCCCCGAATGTCCCAAATGCTTCCCAGATATATGAAATGTGCCACAGAAACCCAAGGCTTTAAAAAGGGGTAGGTGGCACCTGGGACCAGGGCGCAATGGTGACCAGTGCTACCAAGTCAGCTAGAAGCCAGCACTGGTGGTGGGATCGGGGATCCAGTCCCATTTAGGGCTTTTATGAACAAAGGGACGAGGATTCAATCCCATGAGTTAACCATGGCACATGAATCCAGCCCCATCAAGTACGACGAGATGCAGATGCAACCCCATTTATCACCTTAATTAACCACACGGGTGAGGATCCAGCCTCTTTAATTGGCGGTGGGACGCAGGCCCAGCCCCGTTAATTGGCGATCCAGCGCTGTTAATGAGCGATCCAGCCGCGCTAATTGGCGATCCAGCGCTGTTAATGAGCGATCCAGACGCGCTAATTGGTGATCCAGCGCTGTTAATGAGCGATCCAGCCGCGCTAATTGGCGATCCAGCGCCGTTAAGCGACGGCGCACGCGAAGCCGTGAGGGGCAGCAATGGCGGCTCCGGGACCACCCCACCCCGCCGGCAGGCGGCGCCACCCGCCCGGCGCATGCGCGGCCTCGCGGCGCTCYCCTCCCCGCGCTCCCCCTCGGCGCTGCCCGCCATGTTCGCGGAGCTGAACGAGCTGCTCGGGGCYTCCCCGGAGCGCCCGGACGCGGTGAGAGGGCGCTGAGAGGGCGGGAGGGACGGGCTGGGGCCGCCGGGAGCGGCGGGGCACGCTGGGAGGGGCACGGCCAGTCCCGGAGCTGAACCGACTCTGGCTCTTCCCTCGCCCGTTCCCGGCTCCCCGCCGCCCCTCACGGCTCTGGCTCCCGCATGCGCCGCTGAGAAGCGGCAGAGCTCTGTTCACGCGGTGTGTCCGTGCGTGCGTGCTGCTGTGCGGGGAATAAAAACAATACTGGGCGTTAAACCCGCTGCCGGGCACCCGGTGAGGGCCGGGGGATGTTGTAGAGGTATTCGTCCTTTAGAGCACTAAAYTAATTGAATTAGCTTACCCAGGGAGGTTTTGTGTTAATGAAGTCACTCTGGARCTAAACACTCGCGCTCTCTGTGGGAGCTGTTCATGTAAAACTTAAGTCATGGAATCACAGAGTRGTTTGGGCTGGAAGGAGCYTTGAAGCTCCTCCAGTGCCACCCCCTGCCATTGGACAGGGTCACCTGTCACTATCCCAGGGTGCTCCATGCCCTGTCCAACCTGGGCTTCAATTYTTCCAGGGACAGGACAGCCACAGCTTCTCTGGGCACCCTGTGCCAGGACCTCCCMACCCTCGCAGGRAACAATTCCTTCCCAATATCCCATTCATCCCATATCCCATCTGTCCCAGCCCTCTGGCAGTGGGAAGCCATTCCCTGTGTCCCRTCCCTCCATCCCTTGTCCCCAGTCCCTYTCCAKCTCTCYTGGAGCCCCTTCAGGCCCTGCAAGGGGCTCTGAGCTCTCCCTGGATCCTTCCCTTCTCCAGGTGAGCACCCCCAGCTCTCCCAGCCTGGCTCCAGAGCAGAGGGGCTCCAGCCCTGGAGCAGCTCCATGTTCTCCTCTGGGCTCTCTGCAGCTGCTCCAGGTCCCTGTGCTGTTGGATCCAGGGCTGGGGCAGCTCTGCAGGTGGGAGCTTATCTGGGAGTGGCAGAATCCCCCCCTCATCCTGTGTCCCACCCTTGGGATAGCCCAGGGTATGGGGGGTCTCTGGGTCCCAGTGCACGTGGCCGGGCATGTCTGGCTCTCCCCACCAGCACCCCCCAGTCCTTCTCCTCTGGGCTGTTACCCTTTCATCYAGCCCTCTCTCCATCTCCAGTCTTTGCTTGTTCTGGGAATTRTCCTGGCCTAGGTGCACTTGCACTTGGCCTTGTTGAACCTCATGAGGTTCCCATGGACCCACTCCTTCAGCTTCTCCAGGTTCCTCTGGATGCTCCACCCCTTCCCTCTGGAGTGTGACTGCACCACTGACTCTGTCATCAGTAATTATTAATAAATTATCTGTGTCTAGATACCTGTTACTCCATGTTTTTCCTGACAGATACAAGCTTAGATAACAAAAGCAAGTTTGGGGTGATAATTTATTTCATAAGTCTGRGTTTTGCACTTTGTCTCCAGTTTTCCCCCTTGCCCTACTACCAGCTTTTGATGGAAATAGGGCAGGTTTCTCCTTGGTCTGGARGACAGCTCTGAGGCCATTCCTTTGCAAGGTGCTTGGAGTGGGACAGGGCTCATCTGATGGGCAAGCAATACGGATGGTGCCCTTGAGGCTCAAAGCAGACCTGTTAGAGGTGTCAGCTGAGGCTCAGTGGTAGTAAAGGATAGTTTAAGGCCTGTGCAAGTTCCCAAATCTTTGTGGTTCCTGTGGGTTGATGTTGGGTTTTTAATGCGTGTGAAACACTAAGTGAAAAGTGCYTGGTGGAGTTTGTCGACCTGTGCTCTAAGGTGTGTTTGATGGTGGAGCTGGGGGATGAGTAGGAATGCTGCCATCCATGAGCTTGGTTTCTGAGGCAGGGAGCTCAGAAACCTTGATGGGAACAGGAAATTTCACAGAGGGAAACCAAAAGATTTGGCCTCGAAATTCTTGGTTTGGACTTGGCAGCCAAAGCAGGAGCTAACCAAAGCCTCCTCTGTGTGAGGAATTCCCTCAGATTAAGCTGGCTTTCCCCACCCAACCGTACACTCCAGATTSCCCTTTGTCTGGGTGTCACACCAGTGTGGCTGGCTGCCCAGCAAATGCTGCAGTGGGGAGACTGACTTCGTGCCYGGCGCTACAGAATCACGGTGTTAAATCTGCTTTACTCTGGTAGTAAATCGTGAGTATTGGTGTTTGCAAGTTCCCTTCAGTGTCACCGATCCTTGTGCAGAGGCAATCCCTGGAGTGTGCTGGGTTACCCAGCYTGRTCTGGTGTCCCRCTGTGCYTTACAGTSAGTCCTTTGCAAACCTCTCCTTCCYGGCGCTGCCATCCCGATTTCTGCAGCTCCATGGCTGGTCCATGCCCTTTTCCAGGCGCTGGCAAGTGCTGTCCCTGCWGGGTGTGAATGTGTCTGTGAGTGTATCTGCCATGTTACTGGGGTTGTGACACCCATGGCTGCCCTGCTGAGGGATTTTGGCAGTTCTTAACAAGTAGCTGCAGCTTCTGCCTCGTAGCCTGCAGGTATTGAGACTGTGAGGCTGGAGCATGGGCCAAACAGGCTGGGAGTCAGGAAGAAGATGCCACAGGAAGGCTTTGCCTTTGGAAGGGTTTCATCTTCCTGGGACCGASAAGGAATGAAAACTGGGATACTAACGTGGTCCAGTTCATAAGGGTCTTGGAAAGCCATCTCCAATTCCGAGACTGGTTACTCACAGAGACTGGTTACTCTGGTTACTCAGAATTCTCTGATACTTCCATGGCAGGTTCTGGGTCCCAAATAGATGGGATTTTGTCTGCTCCTGTGCATTTGTAGTGTCAAACTAGGGCCATGGGGTTTTTTGCACAGCAAAGCAAAATCTTGGTGGTGGGGCCAGGGCTTCCCTGCTTCTCAGCAGGAGAATTTCTATTGCTGTGGTTGCTTCCAGCCAGCTGTTAAATAACTTGATATTCATAGTCCATGGGGATGGAGCTGTTTGAAGGCAGTGTGAGCACAGTCCTTGGAAAGCCCCACAGCTTTCCTGTCAGCTTTGCTCAGCTTCCTGCTTGTGTGGGCATGGTGGGTGTTATGTCTGCACTGGTGTGACTGCAGGAATGGGGCAGTGCWYRTCCCCTGTGCTGGCCCTGCTGGGACATCTCAAATTCTGGGCCCCTCATGAGAAGAACTCTGAGGGGCTGGAGTGTGTCCGGGGAAGGAAATGGAGCTGGAAAAGGGTCTGGAGTGCCAGGAGCAGCTGAGGCAGCTGGGAGGCACTCAGCRTGGACCAAAGGAGGCTCCGGGGGTATCTTGTGGCTCTGTACAATTCCCTGACAGAAGGGGGCAGCCAGGGAGGRGTTAGGCTCTATTCACTGGGAGCAAGGGACAGGACAAGGGGAAATGGCCTCAACTGTGCCAGGGGAGTTAATGTTGATACTGAGAAAATTTTTTCATGGAAAGGGTTGTCAGATTTTGGAAGGGGCTGCCCAGGCCAGTGGTGTAGTCTCCATGCCTGGAGGGATTTGAAAGCTATGTGGATGTGGCGCTTGGAAAAATGGGCTAGTGGTGGCCTTGACAGTGCAAGGGGATGTGTGGCTGGATGGACTCAGAGGCCTTTTCCACCCTCAGCGACTGTGACCCAATGATTCTGTCAGTCTGAGCAGCTGCAGTGTGACAGCCCAGTGAGGGCTGGCAGGATTGATGGCTGCAGGGTTTGGAATGGTGAAATGCCGTGTGCTCCGAGTGACAGCATCCCACCATGCTGGCACAGCCTGTGGCAGCCAGCCAGCCRGGAGGGGACATGGGAAATGCTCAGCCTGCTCTTGCCGGGGCTCTGGTGAGGAAGAGGGGAGCAGAAGGGAATGGACTTGCAGCACATAAGTCCCTGAATGTGTGGGCATGTGCTGTTTGAGCACAAGTGTCCTTCAGGCTCATCCATGGAGGGCATATCTTGGTGTGGTGCTAACGGGGCGGTGTCCCTGTCACTGCAGTGGCTATTGGGGCATAACCCGTTTTTGGGGGGRAAGAGCTCTCACTCTGGCTGAGGCAGAGCAGCTTCCCTGCCCTGGCCTCTTCTTTGCATTCCCTGCAGTCATGTTCAATATTTGCTGTTCCATTCTCTCTGCTATAGGCTTTAGGCACCAGGGAGTTTGTTCTGATGGATGGCTTGGGAATTGCCTGTGCAGAGTTGGCTTGTTGCTGCAAAAGGCTTTTTCTGTTCTTGGGAATGAAAAAAAAGCCCAGTTTGATAAGTTCTCTGTGTTTCTAAGCAGCTCTTCTATGATTTGTATTGATTACAGAAACATCCTGACTAAGATTTTAATGGAAACAAACACCTTGATGAGGCTGGGGCTGATAATGATTGTGCACTGATGAACGGAATTAATTTCCTGCCTGATCAAAACAAGGTTTATACCTTGTGCTTAGAGCTCTGTTGCACTACAAAATTTGATGATAAGGTTTTCTGCCCTGAAGGTGGCATGTTGGAGGTAAACCTGGAARAGAGGACAGGGAGGGCTGTTAGGGGACAGGAGGAGCTGCAGCTCTAGTGTTGCTGACATTTTAAACACGCTGACAGTGCTGACTGTGGCAGGGGGAGAATGGACTGGGAATGGACTGAGTGGCTGTTGTCCCCATGCCACTCAGAGAAGGAAGATGCCTGTGAATTGGAGAAGAGGGGCWCAAAGCGGGGAGGTGGAAATTGCCCAAAACCCTCCATGATGATGGTGTCCAGCACCAGAGGCTCCAGATGTGCCACGTCCCTTGTTTCCAGGGGAGGAGCTGGCACCTGGTGGGCACAGAGCATGGGGGTCCAGCTGGGGTCACAGCTGAGCACAAGGATTTTTAGCTGCTGGATGTGTTGGGACACCAGGCATGTGAGAACATGGTTCAGTGGTGGCAGTGCTGGATTAGTGGTTGGACTTGATGGTCCCAGAGGRCTTTTCCAACCTTAGCAATGCTGTGATTCAGATGCCTCCCCATGGGCTGTGTCCAGAGGAAGCGTTGGCATCCCTTTGTAAACAGATAGGCAGCTGGAATTCTGCTTGTCCACTTCTTTCTCTGAGAAATACTGCAGAATTCACCTTAGCCTGAGCCAATGTCCTGTCTGCCAAGAGCAATTTGTGCCCTCACCTTACTCTGTTATTTTGCTGCTTCTTTTCCAGGGTAAATTCACGCTGCTGCGAGATACCCGGACAGATGGYAGCTTCTTGGTGCACCACTTCCTCTCCTTCTACCTCAGAGGTGGGTCAGCAGCAGCACTCTCTGAGGCAGGGAAACCTTGGAGGTTCCTTCAGTGTTACTGTGTGAGCGGAGGCTGGTTTTACAGAGCATGAGGTATCCTCAGATGAACACAAAGCTTTGGCGTCAGGATTTATGGATCCCAGTCCTGGCTTGTTCTTGGGAGTCCTTTGTTTCCTTCGGTACATCATGTAATTCTGCTCCTTGCTTCATCACGGATCATGGCGATGGTTGTAATCACACAGGCTCTGACTGGAAGGTGTTCACTGCAATTCTGTCACTGCCTCCATTTTTATGGTGTAATTACACATATCAGGATTAACTAAGAACAGATAAGCTCAGAGTGAGTAAAGAAACAGAGCCTGGCAAATTGTCTAGTTACTTTTCTGGGAACAGTTTCCTTGGTGAGTAACCTTCTGGCCCCTGAGGAGCAGGCACTGGACTCGGGTTCCTCCAGCTTTCTGCTGGCATATCCACCAGCCCAGAAAATCGGGTGCTGTCAGGCCCGAAAGGGAACTTAGAGTGCTGGACAGGGCATGGGATGAGGACATGCTGCCCCCCCGAATTGCCACTGCCTCAGGTGGGGCTTTGCCCTGCTTTGAAATATATTTTACTTAATGGAACAGAGGGAAACTGAAGGAAATCCCATCGAAAGTGGGTTTGTAACAGCGTGAATAGTTCAAAGAGACGTGCCAGGCACTGCCTTGGGCTCTGCTGATGTGCTGTCCTGCTGCGCTGTCCTGCAGCACTGCCCTGGGAGTCGCTGTCTGGAGCTGTGCATCTGCCTAGGAAAAGCCTTCCATCCCTGGTGGGTGGGCAGCCCTGTGGGATGTTAATGTGTCCCAGGACAGGCGTGTTGGCTGTCAACTGGCCCTCTCCAGCCCAGGGCCTGGGTGCAGTTACTGCCTATTTGCAGCACCTCTGTGTTGTCCRCTTGGTGCCCAAAACCTTTGGGAGCTTTCAAGGGGTCAGTGAAGGTTCATCTGTGGCCACTGACTTATTCCACTTGAAATCCATGCCCAATAAACACAAATTGTGTACATACCTGAACTGTGCTCCAAAAACACATTTTATTTTAGGTGTTTGACAAAACTCGTTGTCCTGTGTGTTTTTCCGGCCAAGGTCATTTGCCCTGCGAGAGCCAAAATGGGCATTTTTAGCATGCCCATGGTTTCAGTAGTTCRGTGTTGCAGCTGGCCCTTGGCCTCCTTACAGTAACACCAGCAAACAGGGCCAGGAGGTCCCAGGCTGGCCTGGCACGAGGCAGATAAGGGGCTTTAAACTTATTTTAAGTTATCTTTTTCCTTCTTTCCTTCTCTTTTAAAACTAACATTTTCCCTAATGTGGATGTCCTCTAGAAGGGTGAAAATTGAAAGCAAGGGAGGGTCTCTCTAGACCTTCGTCACTTCAAGGTTCTTCCAGACAGATCTGTGGCCTGGCTGCTGTGATTTATGAGCTTTGATAATGTCAGCTGCAAAGTCGAACTGCTAATGTGTGCTTTTGTGCCTCCCCAGCTGGCTGCAAGGTTTGCTTTGTGGCTCTGCTCCAGTCCTTCAGCCACTACAACATCGTGGCGCAGAAACTGGTGAGTCTCTTGGCACAGGTTCATTATGACAAGTCCAGGTGGTTTCTGTWGGGAGGGAATAAATGGGAACGGGGTGCAGGAATTGTGTGTGAGCAAATGCTTCCTGGTCTTGATGGGGACAGTCAGGATTGGTGCTCCTGTGATGGGGGATAAAGAGCACTTTAGGGCAAAAACCTGGCTGCGAGGTGCCCCATGGTCTCTGCCCTGCCAAGGGCTGTATGGGTGCTTGCTTTGTGCTTAGAAATGTTTTCTGGGGATCAGTGTTCCCCAGACAGGCCCAGACTGGTAGATTGAGGTTCCTTAATCCTCTGAGGAGGAAAATGCCATGGTGTTAGTGTTCCCAGGGCAGCTGTACACCTGCAGGAGCTCCTGAGGTGAGTTTGCCCCCTCTTCTGTGGTAACTTTGGGATGAAGGRCTGAGTCACCTGTTCACAAGGACACCTCTGTGCCTCTTTTGGCCTCTGGTTTGAGCCATCACTTTGAGCTCTCTGAGAAGCCACAGGTATGTTCCTAGGGATTTCCTTCCTGTGGTGAGTTGGGTAAGGATTATGTGTACCCTGAAATGAGRAAACAGAGACAAAGCAGGCAGGGTAATTCTGCATGTCAGCAAATTCTCTGAGCTCTAAACTGCTTCACTCAGCTTTTYGTACAACACTCCAAGGTGAAATGCTCCAGGTGGGAAGTCCAGGTGACCTTCCAGGGCTGAAGGGATGAGGGCTTGCACTGGTCCTCCCTCCTTCYTCTGGTTCTGCTGGGAATCTCTGCAGTGCTGCTGCTCATAAAGACTCCCAGATGTTGAGGAATCAGTTATTGTGTTTCTCACTGTAAACACGGTGCTGCTGAACAACTGTATTTAATTTACTGCTCAGTTTGTACCTTTTGAAAGGAAATCAGTGGCCCGTGGTACATGCAGTGGGCTGAGCAAACATGGTGTTCCCCCATGGACCTATAACTGACAGGTGGATACTCCAGGTGTGGTTCCCCTGCAGAGCAGATCCCACTGGCTGAGCAAACCATGAGTATGGAGTTGCCCTGGCTTTGTGGTGCAGAGAGGAGGAAATCTTGGGGGAAACTTGCTGAGTGAGGCAGGAAATGGGGCACAGTAACCCATATGGGGAGGAGATTCAGCTGTTACATACAGGATCCTTGCCTAAGAAAGCAGGATGGTGTGTGTGTTTCCTAATGCAGTGAGATTTCCTGGTGTGCAGTTAATGGGAGCTTCAGGAGAGACTGAGGGAGAGAACATGAGGATTAGCTGGAGCGCACGTGCAATGCAAATGGGGTGATCTGCTGTCTGATACTTGAACAAAAGGTGGTTGCCACGAAGGTGATAAGCACAGCTCAGAGAAACTCTGAGCTGCTTTCAGCTCTGAGTCACTCTTGTATTGCAACTTCATACGTGTTCCTGTGGTTGTTGCTGTGAATTCCTCCCGAGCTCTGAGGAGCTGGAGGTCATAACATCAGTTATTTATATCCGAGTTCCCATCACATCTTCACTTGAATCCTTCTTTGTGCAGATGAACACGTCAGGCTCAGAAAAGGTGTTTCTTGGCATGGTAGTTTCACTCTTAAGTTTGCTTTAGAACTTGCTGCTGTAGATCTTTACTGGAGACCAGATGGGATGTCACTGCTTGGCTGCAGCAAGCCTTGGTTTCAGTGGTGCCTGAGCTATGCAGGAAGGTGAGCTGCACACTCACCCAATKACCCCCTCCTCGCTTCCCATCTCCTCTTCCTCAGTAGTGAGATCTAGACCAGCTGCTGGGCTCTCTGTTTTGKCTGGGAGCAGGGATCAGGCTGCAGTTTCTCTGGAAACTGCTTGGAAGAGTCTGACCCATAAGCAGCCCYCTGCCTTCCCATGAATTACCATTCTGAGCAGAAGATGATGCTGGCCAGCAGCTGGCTGGATCTGAGCCCAGGTGGCCAAGGAGGCCAAGGGCACCTGGCTTGTACCAGTAATGGTGTGGCAACWGGCCAGGGCAGTGCCTGTCCTCTRTGCTGGCACTGCTGAGGCACCTCCAGTCCAGGGGGCAGCTTTGGTGTCCCCAAGTAYAGGACAGAGCATGTCCCATGAAGGGAATGGAGCTGGGGAAGGGTCTGGAGCAGMAGGAGGAGCTGAGGGGGCCCAGCCTGGAAAAAAGGAGTCTCAGGGGGGCCTTTTGGCTTTCTACAACTCTGACAGRAGTGGGGGCAGCCAGAGCGGGGGAAGTTGAGCTCTGTTCCCAGGGAGCAAGGGACAGGACAAGGGGAAATGGCCTCAAGTTGTGCCAGGGGAGGGGCAGGTTGGATGTTGGGAAAATTTCTTCCTTAAAAGGGCTGTCTAGTCCTGGCACAGCTGCCCAGGGAGGTGCTGGAGTCCGCATTCCTGGAGGGATTTAAAAGCTGTGTGGATGTGGCACATGGGGACATGGGTTAGTGGTGGCCTTTGCAGTGCTGGGGCATGGTTGGACTTGATGGACTCAGAGGACTTTTCCAATCTTGATGATTCTGTGATTCTATGATTATGCCCTTAGGAAAGACTGCACCTGGAAGAGCTTCAGAACTGAATGATTTCTGTACCAGGCCCAGGCAGAGGCTTCTAGAGCCAGTGTCTTTCCAGTGACACTTATAGTGCTGGTGTGTGATAACACAGTGAATATTTATACACAGCTGAAGTGATGCTTCCATGGGCTTGCTGTTTTCCCAGTGTGTCAGGTGTTRCAAGTCCCAAACCACTTTTACATGTTACCTAAATGCTGGAATGTATTTTTACTTGCAGGAAAAAAGCTTCCCTAGGTTTTTGTGCCTGTGTCCCCTTTTTCTGAGGATCTGCACTTCGTTTTAAGGGACCGCCAGTGTTATTGGCCCTGACCTTGCAGAGAACATTCAGGGCTATATCAGGACAAACAGCACCAGGGCACCGTGCCAGATTGATGTTCCCACCCTCACTTGTACAAAGTTTGTTTTGTTTTAAAGGGAAACCAGATTTGTCCCCATTTGGTCTCCCTCTCCTGTCCCCTGCTCTGAGCTCATGGCCTGGAGGACATGTCCTGGCCTGTTCACTGATGGCCACGCTTTGTCCCACAGCAGTGTTTGCTGATGGAGCTCATTCCAACTGCCTTGTGCACTCCATTCCTTGTTCTGTCCTCCAGGTGTTTTGCTTTCCCATCTGGAATGGCCAGCAGTGTCTGGTTTGAGGGGCCATCACTGCTGTCAGGTCGGGGGGCACCACTCTCCAGAAGCTTCCCAGAGGGACAGGAGCAGCTGAGCTGCTGCTGCAGGAGCATTCCCGGGCTGGGTCGATGGCTGACAGCATGCCAGAGTTAATGCCCTGGTGCTTCAGGGTAATGGAGTGGGATGCTGGCACAGAGCAAAAGCTTTCAGGCTGTTCAGGTGCTGGGCAGCGCCATGGTTCAGCCGGAGACATCGGTCTTGCAGGGACATCAGTCCTGTCTGCACTCAGGGAGGTGCCACTGGCCATTTTGAGCACTTTTCCCACTGTTTCTAAGCTGTCTGATGCTTCCTGTGCCTCTTCCAGAGGTCAGACTGGGTGGGTTGCTAGCAGGGAGACAGGCAKAGGTTTGCTGTTGCAGGTGACTGCAGTGAGTCGAGGTCTCTTTGGGACTTGGTTCCCCTGTTGGAAAATGAGGCTGGGCTTGCTGGGTCCATGCCATGGTGCTGAGGTGGTTGAATTGCTGATCTGACACACAGGCACTGTCCCTGGCTGCTGTGGCCCTTCTCTGTCACCCAGACATGCCTTGGTGTCACAGCACTGAGCTCCCCTCTAAAGTGGGGACTCTGTTTTCTTGCAGATCTGAGGTACAGAGAGTGTGCGTGCAGGAAGAAATGGCTGAAGCAAAGATAACATCAGTTGCTGAATTATTGATATTAATAGTGAATTTAGAGCATTTCAAAACTTTCCCAGTGCTGTAGACTCCAGAAATCCTTGAGGGAATGAGGTTTGTGAGGCTCCTATGCAGCCCAGCCCTTCTTTATGGCATGGCAGGTATTTATTTGCCAGCCGTTCCCTGTTCCTCACCTCCCACATGAAGGTGGTTCTGTCCTTGGCTACGAAGTTTTCCATCATCTATGCTTGGAATTGCCCAATAATGCTGATATTTCTGAACCTATTACTGAGGGGTAGCGTCAAAAAAATTTATTGCTTTATAGGGGGAATTTGAAGAGGAAATTAGCATTCCTTCCAAGCTGGATAGAAGGAAAATAGAACAAGAATTCTTCTCAGGTAGGAGGATTCACAGGGTTGGGAGTCCAAGCAGCTTTCATTAAATCAGGAAACAGATGCCAGCAGATGGGAGTTCAATTAGGCCTCAGATTACTCTTAGTATCCATATTACAGAGTGATAGTGCTGCAAAATTGAGCTTGGGAAGATAATAATGGAATAGTTTGGGTTGGAAGACACTTGAAAAGGTCACCTAGTCCAGTTCTTCAGGAAAACATTGTACTGCACATGATCATGGAATCATTGAGGTTGGAAACGCCCTCAAGGATCATTGAGTCCACCTGTTCTCCAGCACTGCCAAGGCCACCACTAACCTATGTCCCCAAGTGCCACATCTACAAGGCTTTTAAATCCCCCCAGAGATGGTGACTCTTCCAGTGCCTGACCACTCTTTCTGAGAAGAAATTGTGGAGAATGAGAAGGTCCCTCTAGCCTCCTCCAGGCTGAGCCCCACCAGTTCCCTCAGCCCTTGACAGAGCTTGGAGCAACGTGGTCTAGTGAGGGTGTCCCTGCAGAGGGATGGAAYGGGATGGTCTTAAAAGATCCCTCCAACCTAAACCTTTTTACAACTCCAGCTGGAGCCTTCTCCATGTTTGTTAGAACTCTGGGATGTCTGTGTTGGAACTGGACATTCCCAGGATATGGCTCTCGATTGGYCTCACCACCAAGCAGGGCTGAGAGCTGGCTGAGTTGGAGTTGTAGCCCCAGGTGTTTGTCATGGTCCCTCCTCCAGGAGYCAGGGCTGCTGCTGCTGCTTCCCGTGGGAGCCCTGGCTGCACTCTCCCATCTGTTGTGCAAACAGTTGGGATGCCCATCCCATGGCACTCTCTGGATCTAGGCCCAGCCTGGCTCAGCTGCGTGGGCTGTACCAGGAGCCAGCATTGCCACAGCCATGATCTGGAGATAGTGGAAAACAAAAGCTTTCACCACCCAGGGAGGGAGACAAAGGAATTGCTCACAGCAGGCCCTTGGAGAAGCCTGGCCCATCCTCTGCCTGCCTCTCTACAGGCAGCTGGTTTTCTTGCATGCCACCAGGCTGGCTTCCCAGGAAGAATCCCAGGATGTTTGAGCCCCAAATCACAGTGTGTTTTTGTTATCTCCTGACAAAGTACATGAGAGCAAACGTGCCACCTATGACTGTAACAGAAGTGCCCATTTCATCCCTGAAGCACTGACTTTATCAGTGCGTTTAGATAAGATTTGATTTGAATAAGAATGAAAATTCAGCTGTCAGCTCACATGGTTGTGTGTGCACCATTTTCCAGAAGTGTTCACTCTGAGACCTAATGTTTTCCTCTCTTGAGGGAGTCAGTCTGGCAGCTGCCAAGGAACGGGGACAGCTTGTCTTCCTGGAGGGTCTCAAGTCCTGCCTTGACCTCCTGTTTGGGGAGGAGGAGCAGCCAGGACAGCCCATTCCTCTGCAGTTTCTGAGGTGAGCCTGAGCATGGAGTGTTCCCCCCTCAAATCTACTACCAGAGGCACCCCCCAAGGTCCAGGGCTCACTGATGTTGCACTTTGCACTGACCTCTGAGGCCCAAAGACTCAGAGCCAGACACTGAGTGAAGGGAAACACCAGCACTGTGCACAGTGCTCTGCATGTCCTGGCCTGTCCCTGCCTGCTGCTCATGGGGGGATCCTGGCCCTCTTTCCATAATTTTAGGGGAATTTCCACCCCCATTCTCATTGCTAAGTATGTCCCAGGTTTAGAAAAACATTTATTTCAGCACTCCACAGGTTTGTGTCAAATGGAACCTCAGCCAAGTGGTTTTATTCCCTTCTTTGATTATTTTGGGTTTTATCCTTATCCAAGAGAACATTTCTGCTTTATCCATGCTGGCGTTTGGGTTTATTCTCACTTCATTTTCTCCACATCCCTTGGGATGCTCAGCAAAGGCCAAACACTTCCCTGGCAGTGTCCAAGGCCAAGTTGGATGRGGCTTGGAAGCACCCTGGGATTGTGAAAGGTGTCCCTGCCAYGCCAGGGGGATGATGTTTGAGGTTCCTTCCCAGGATATCTGGAGCAGGGCAGGAGGGTTTCACCACGTATAGGTGTAAAGGAGCAGTGGCTGAAGGGCAGTGAGGACCTGGTGACTGTGACAGCAGTGTGGACAGTGGGGAGAGAGCAGGCTGGTGATCCCCACTCTGGGTCAGTGGGTGAGGARGGGTTCACACTATGCCAAGCCCCTGACACTTTTTTTATCTCTTCCAGTGGGAGCACCTCTGATCTCAGAGCCTTGTTTGATTTTGTCCGGGTGTCCCTGACTCCCRTGGACGGTGATTCCTGGAAAGGCCCCGTGCTGCTGGTGGATGACCTCAGTGTCCTGCTGAGCCTGGGGGCTGCACCAGTGGCTGTGCTGGACTTCATCCATTACTGTCGCATGTCTGTGTGCTACCAGCTGAAGGTACTGCTCCCCCTGTGCCCTGGCTGTGTGCAGAGCCTCCAGAGCAAAGCTGGCTTTATTCTCTTTCCATCTCACCATGATGGGGGTTTTGGAAAACTGTCCAGGGAATTCAGACAGTCAGGGAATTGCTCTGGGGCCACTCTGGGCAGTTGTGTGGGTCTCTGAGTACCTGTGCAGCATCCTGTTCAGCTGGATTCCTGGGGCAWGCTCAGAAAAGGGTTCTCTGTGTCCCTGATGTATGAATAGGGGTTTGAGCTGTAAAATWGTGGGTTTTGGAGCTCCTGACTCTCCAGAGATGCTACTCACACCCATGTGTGTGGCGGGGGGCAGGGGTGAGGTGGAAACAGGTCATGTGAGGGGCTGGTGAGTCTCCTAGGGGACAGAAATGAAGGGCCACTTGGGGAGACAYCCCTGTCCCTGTGCCCACCATCCTCCGATGTTCCTGCTCTGGCTGGTTCCCAAAGTGGGTGATGATCTAGAGAGATCTCTCAGAGGTGTGGGCACTCCTGAGAGCACCASCGCCAGAAGTCACATCCAAACTGCCATCACACGCAGCATCCCCTCYCTGGGCACTTCACAGCAGGAGTGAGGAATGAGCCAACCCTGTTAGGTGTTGTCAGCCTGCACTCACAGKGTGCAGGGTTTGGGGCTCCATGTGCTGACAGGTCATGATCTGCTTGTAGGGAATATTTACCTCCAAAGAGCTAAAAAAGATGAGAAACCACGCTAACACTTTTCTGTCTGAGGTGTTCTGAAGCTTTAAAGTACATTTTAATTGATTGAGAATTTGTGTTATTTTAAGTTCTTGGTGACTTGCATAGGCTGAGGCAGAGTCTCTTGGGGTGGATGTTAATAGAGTTGTTATGCTGGGGAGATGTTTGCTCCCTGCCAGAGCTGTGAGGGTGTGAGCAGTGCTGTGGCCCTTTGGCCACCTCTTTATTTACCTGCTCTGAATTCAATCAGTGCCATCCACCCGGCCTGACTGACTGGTTCAGCCAGACACTGTCTCCTTACAAAGGCTCGAGGTATTTTTAGACTGCACATTACATACGTGTGTGTGTATATGATGTATAGTGAGCTCTTCGGTGTTTACACATCACAGAATGGCCTGCGTTGGAAGGAACCTTAAAGATCATGTATGCCATGGGCTGGAACACCTCTGATTTGGGCCCCAGGGCAGGAGGCAGCCGTGCAGGTGGGGGCTCACCTGAGTGGGGCAGAGGGGCAGAATCCYCTCCTMCCCTGCTGCCCATGCTGGGGGATCAGCCCAGGGTATGGGGATTTCTGGCCGGGGCATGTCCAACCTCTCCATCAGCAGATGCTGGTTATTTTCCCAGTGGAATTCAGACCATGCTGGGGGCTGTCTGAGGAGCTTAGATGGGGTGTTCGTGAAAGGTCCTGTAGACACCTCCCYCCCTCCCACCAGGGCCTCATCCCTACCTGTTGCTCGCATTCCAGGGGAACATCGTGGTGCTGGTTCATAGCAACGAGGATGCRGAAGATGAGGAGAATGAACTGGTTGTGAACTCCCTGTGTCATCACAGTGACCTCATCCTGTGGGCAGAGGGGCTGGCCACYGGCTTCTGCAAGGATGTTCATGGGCAGGTGAGGCACAGCAGAGGCAGGTGGCTCGTGTSTGTCACCTATAACACTGCAGGCCCTGAGGCTGTGGGAACAGGACTAGCCTGGGCTGTAGTGTGGTTTAGGAGTAATCCYATGGGCACTGAGATCAGCTGGAGCACTGGGCTCTTATGGCTGTGACTGCACTCCTGCACAGGTATCTGGGGACATCCTGCCTGAGGACTCCCCACTTCTGGAAGCTCTCCAGGGTTTATACAGCAGCTGCAGTGCAGGCTTCTCCCACTCCAGGGTGATGGCAAACTTTCCTGGGAAGTTTCCCCAAATGGTGGATCTGGGCCTGGCCTGTGGTGGTCTCTGCCGGGCTAGCACCTGTGTGATCTCTCATCAGGGGTTGCCACCACAGGTACAGGATTATTTATCAGTGATGCCCTTTTCCTGCAGACCAGCCAGAGGCATGGGGGGTGAAGATGTTCTGGGGAGCCAAAGGGATGATAWTCCTATTCCTTTCCCTCTGCAGATTAAGATAATCAAGAGATTGTCCTTGCGGCAGGCGGCGGAGCAGGATCTGGTGCAGATCTACCAGTACAAGATCCAGGACCGGAATGTCACCTTTTTTGCCAGGGGGCTGTCAGCTGCAGTCCTGTGACATTGTGACGGTGCAGCGTGAGTCTGGGGATGTCAGTCCCTGCCTCCACACCAGCCTGGCAGCTCCACCAGCACCTTCCAGGAGCAGCACAGCAAACTGAGCTGGGAAGGAAACTCAGACATACCTGGAAGTGGTGCCAACGTGGGATCAGCTTGCCCATCGCCTTCTGCATCCTTTTGTCCTCCCACCCTGTTCCCAACATGCTCAGGCCAAGAAAGAGAGCAAGAACTTGCAAGAATAGCCCTTGGAGCATGTAAATACAGGCAGAGGGGTGTCCTGCAGGTGGGGTGTGCCTCACCTCACCTTTTCCGGTGTGCTTGGCATGGCATGGCAGTGCCAGGCACTGCATGGAGGGAGCAGCCCCTCCCTCTTGCTGGCACGGGAGGAGATGACACAGAGTGGGTGGAGCAGGGATGATCTGGGAGCCTGGCGCAATCCTCTCCTTGCTCCCAGCTGTCTGGCAGAGATTTGCCCAGCTCCAGTTTCCATGCTGTTGGTGAATCTGTAGCTCCATGTGTAGCCCCTCACCTGGCTGTGCTGAGACCTGGGCACTGCCTTGATTGGCTTATCTGCTGCGGCTTCTCAAGCTCATCCTTGGCTTTGGGGTTGGATAAACCCCTGTCCCTGAGCCTCTGTCTCAGCCACTGCTTCCTCATCCCAGACCCTGACTAGCAGTTACATGACCTGCCTGTACTGAAGCTTTTTATTTTTTTTTAATAATAATCCCTAATTTTAGTGAGATAAGGATACAGTGATTAAGTAAGCKTGGATCTCTGGGTGGGAACTGCTCCCCACTGGTTTCTTGGTAGGGGGCAGGAATGRGCATCTCCCCACTCTGGATGAGGAGAGGGCCCTCCCCATGGCTGCAGGGGCAATCCTGGAAGCAGAGYTCAGGCCTGAAGGTCTCCTGGTAGATGCTTCTGCTGAGATATCCCATTTATCCTGGGAGATAAATTACATCCTCCACACTTGTGAGAGTCTTGATTAACCCGCCAGGTCCTTGCAGCTCCAGAGCTGGGGTAGCAACTCTGGCAGTGGGACACATTCCTACTTTTTCCATGTAGACTCAGTGACCCATCCCATGCTGGTTTGGGAATGTGCTCTTTGCCTTATAATTTTGGGAGCCCTGGCATGTTCAGGGCTCTAGCTGCTGCTTGATGACAGCCCAGGGAAGCCAGGCAGGCTCCAAGAATTGTGGCAAAACCACAGGGAACTCAGGAGGGGAATCAGGTCGTGTGTGTGCTCTAGGATCACTTGTCCCTGGTGTCCCCTGGGTGTTTCCATGCTCTCCCGTGGAAGTGGCAGTGCCCACTGCCTGGCTGCTGGCTCAGTGTGGTGGCAGTGCCCAAGGGGCAATGCACTGTTGCAGTCTGCACAGGGAGGATAAGAGGACCAGTAGCTGCTGGCACTGCAGCTGCTTAAATTGCAGCTGTGATGGGCATAGAATGGTGTATAATTGGAGTAATATGTGTATAATTRTCCTTGGAGAGATGCCAGAGCCTAGCTCCCGATCTCTGCCTCCCTCATCTGAAACTAGCGGGGACACTGCGTGATACAATGTGTGACATCACTGCTGGCTTGTGCCTGGTTCTTTCTACMCTTAACCAGTGCCTGTATCCAATTAATGGTCTGGGGAGCCTCTGCCTGACACTTCCCATGTCCCCATGCAGGGGATGTTCCYTGGTATCCCTTTGGAATGAGCCACKGTGCCCATGCCATGCAGYGGTGAGAGCTTGGACAGGGAGATTTCCCCCTGGAAAAGGGAGGTGAAACCTGTGGTGGCTRCTCAGTGCAAGACCAAACACAGCATTCCCAGTACTTCTGCCAATTGTCCAGGGGTGGCCTTGGCCATCAGGACACGATGGGGGCAGTTGTGCCGATCCAAGGCCATGAGCACAGCTGTGACCSAGCTGAGGCCTCACTCCAGAGCTGACGCTGCGGGAGGGCAGCCAGAGAGTGGATGTCAGGAATGATGCCATCGATGGCAGGACAGGATGGCCTTGCCCAGGGTCAGCCACCTGCTGTGTGCTCAGGGCTGCTGCCATGGGCAGTGTTTGTGTGCCAGCCACAGCTTGGGCAATCCTGAAGAATCTTGTGGGATAGGGCCTGAGGGTTCAGCTCTCCATTCCCTTGGCCTYGAAGGGAGCTGCAAACGGGAAGTCCCACCAAGGCTGGGGCTGGTGAGATGAGGGTGCAGGTCCCTGGGAGAAGGGGATGGGTTATATTGGGAAAGGCTGCCAGCAGCAGGGTCGGCTAGAAAGTGTCAGTCTGACAGCTGCAAGAAGGGCCCTGTAAAAGCTGTTTTGGGTGTAGTCAGCCTCAGTACTGGAGATGAAGGAGCAGGGAATGTGCTTTACAGCATCCCACCCCATGCCAGCATCGTGCTGGCAAGAGAGCAGGGRCACTGYTGGAGAAGGAAAGATCCCTTGGCCKSTCGGTACCATTTSCCCCTTMCCATGGCATGTACCTAAGTCCTGGCCCACTTCTGTTCCCGGGCAGCAGTCACCTCTGTCCCCTGCACCGAGACAGGGCTGCCGGTGCAAAGYTGCCGGTCCTCCCTCCGGATCCGCTCTGCCCCGGGATGCTCCAGGGCTCCTGATGCCCAATCCCTCCCCATCAACCCTTCCTGTCCACCGGATCGTCAGGACTCCCAGCGCCTGACCCGCATGTTCCCGCCATTCCCGGGTGCAGGGGGCGGCTCCGCGCTTCCTCGGACCCCCAGCGCGGCCGATGCCCGGTTGTCCTCCCGGCCTTCTCCGTCTGCTAGACCCCTTCCCGGTGATACCGCATCCCCCCTTTCCCGCTCCACGTGCTCAGCCGCCTCYGCGCCGCTTCCGGGGGCGTGACCTGACAGACCAGGGGGCGTGTCCAGGGCAAAGCAGAGCCGCGATCGGGGCGTTCTGATGCAAATAAAGGGGTGGTTATGCAAACAAAGGCGCCGTTCGCGGCCTGTGGGCGTGGTCATGCAAATAAAGCCCATATTGGGCACTGGCCACTATTGGAGGTGTGGTCAGAGTGATGTGGGCGTGGTCACGCGACGGCGGGAGGTGTGGCCGACGTGAGGCGCTGCGCGCGCGCGCTCGGGGTCCGGCGGCGGCAGCGGGGGGAGGGCGGGAGGGGGTGGGAGAAACCGGGCCGGGAACGGGCGGAAAAGCACCAGGATTGATGCGAGTTTAGAGCTAATAGACTCCACAACATCCTACATTAAAAAAGAAAAAAAGCCCAGAAAACCCTCCAGCGACGAAGCACGAGGCCGTCGGGAGGTCAAAGGGCGGAGGTGAGGAAGGAGCCGCTTCCCGGTGAGGTGAGAAGGGGCCGGGGCGGGCGGGGGGAGCGCCATCGAGTACGGAAATGAGCCCCCACCGCCCCTTCCCGGCCTCAGTTTCCCCTCAGGCCCCTCCGTGCGTCAGTTTCTCCCTCACGGCGGGGTCCGGGGGCGCGCGCCCTCCCGCACCCGCACGAGCGCGGCGCGTGAGAGTGCGCGGGGGAAAGGCGCGCGCCCCCCGCGCTCACCTCCCCCACATCCCCATCCTTTCTTTTTTGGGGTAGAATTTGGAAGGAATACATACAGGGAATGTGTGGAGTCAAACACTGTAGTTTTGGGGTATTAAAGGCGCAAAGCAAAGAAGGGGGRTAGAGGGGAGGGATTAAATCTCTCTGTGCCGCAGGACGAGGTGAAGATGCTTTATGGAAACGGATTAAAATGAGGGAGTGCGTAAAGGGAATGATGTAATATTTTATTCCATGGGGTTTGTTCGTACCATAAAGGTTTTCTGCCGTGATTCTCTGGGGACTTGGCTCTGTGCTGGGAATATCTTCCCTCGGGGTAATCACCTGTCTTTGTGATCTATATTCAGAAATCGCCAGAGAGATGGAGAAAGTTTTGGGGCACCGAAGGTGCAAAGTGAAGAGGGGGAGAGGAGGGAAAGGGTTGAGCACCTCTGCTGCAGAATCAGGAGAAAAYATTTTAGGGGAAAGCATTAAAATGATGGAATAGGTAAAGGGAACGATGGGACAGAGGAATAAAGTACTCCATGRGGTTTGGTACAGGGTCACTGAGCACAGAACCAGAAGGATTTGTTACTATGGTTCTCTGGGGACTTGGCTCTGTTGTCTCAGCAGATACCTTGCCCCCTTAATTACCCTAAACTTCGTGATTTTATCARAATTTAGGAGTTGATTTCCTCTTATGTGTCAGAATGAACATCTTTATTTTTACTATAATGACCAAGGAGCTCTTGAGATGCATAGGCATTTCTGGGGTTGTACTTGGGAGAATCCTGAGGAAAGGACTCCGGAAAGATTTTGGCTTTAGTGCCAGAATTTCCTGAATGCAGCATCCACGTGTTTTTCCGGGTTGTTGAAAGACAAACCAAGTTTCTTTTCATGTGRGGGGCAGAGATGGGGCGTGAGCTCACTCTCTGTGAAACCAGGGCTGTGAGAGCAGGACTAGGGTGGTAAATTTGGGATTACACGAGCTGTTGTGTAATGCAAAAAGGAGATTAGCTGGTTGGGATTGGGAAGAGAGGAAAACACCCCACGATGTTCCCTGAACGTGTGACACAGCCCCGAGAACTTTCCCCAAACCAGCTCTGCACYGTGTTTCCAGGTACAACTTGGCATGGTTTATTTTTCCAATTGTGATTCAAATACAACACCCTAAAAGAGTGAARAACAATCACAGTTTGTCTCAGGAGTGTTAAAATAGTATTTTAAGTGTCGAATCCTGTGATGAATGAATTAGTCAGGCTCTCACTGAGTTACTCAATGCTATTTTCAGTCAAGGGGTTGCTGGGCCTGTCKGGCGTCAGAGTTTGGATCATTATGCACCAAAACCTCATTTTTCCCCCCWCTCTGATGAGAATTTAAAAAGTAGAACAGGTACATCTTGAGGAACAAAAATAGCTTTACCCATGTGTAGTGGAGTGTAGTAGGTGAGGAGCAGCAGCAAAGCACTTCCAGCAGATCCTGAGCCCTGGGAGTCCTTTCAAGGCCAGGGAACTGCAGGCACCTTCCTTCCCTTTTACAAGAGACTTTCTCCAGGGAGTTCTGGCTGGAGATGAAGGGCTCAATCCCTGCTGCTGGGGAGCATGGAAGGTCCAGTGGCACTCAGCACAAGGGACTGGTGAGACYGGAAGGAGATGTGGAAGACACTCTCCAGGCATTCCTGGCTGTAATATTTGTGATTATAATTCCTTTGAATTCCTTTTTTCTCATGATGTGCATTAAAGAGCGAGAAAGAAAGGCTTAAGGAGCACTGAGCAGTTCAGTGGTGGTGCAGCTGTTTCCGTGTCTGGAATGCTTACATCCAAGATATCCAGAACAGGAAGCAACAGGGAATTGAGGGTGGTTGTCTTGGAGGGAATCTTTTAATTCCTGTTCTCAGGTGAAGACCCAGCCCTGATGGCTCAGAACAGCTGTGGCCTTTTGGCATAACTTGGGAAAAAAAAAGTATTGCTTCTGGAAAAGAGCAATTTCAGCTGGAGCMAGAGCATGGTGGGCAATGGGGATGGGAGCAGGATTGTAGTTCTTTGAGAAAATCTGAATTAATCTTGTATGGAGCATTGTGATAAAGGAATAATAGTTGGTTTGTTTACAAAAGACAATGTCGGAGTCAGACTTTGGGACTTGTTGCCTCACAGAGGAATTTTGGGATCGTTTCTCCATCTGGAAGAAAGAGCGCAGTGATTTCCTGAGCACGGCTTCCTAATTGGTGATGATTAGAAAGGAAAATGTTTAGTTGTGTGATGCTGGAGATGCCAAAGGCTCCTGCTTGGGCCTGGAAGCCCTGGCATTTGGTGTGTTCAGCTTTGCCCAGTGTTCCTGCTGTAACCCAGAACCTGTGGAAAACCAATCCCAGGCAGGTGCRTCACCTTACAGGTGCTGTGTCCCTCCAGCCCTCTTGGGGCCTTTTGCAAGCCCCAAAGATCTTGGAGTGCAGGCTTTTTAATCATGGAAGTTGTCCTGATTAAAGGTTTGGGGGGGTGGTATTTCTGAGGGAACARAGCAGGGAAATCCATGCTAAGGGTTATGTTTAAATCTTTGCTTTTTATTTCATGGATAAATGGTCAGAATTATGGGGTTTGTCTCTCTTTTGTCCCCCTTCACATCCTGCCTGTGAGGGGATCCCTGGTAATWACATGACTGACAGACAGAGCTTCCAGAATTCCAGAGTCCAGGGTGGAAACACTGCTGAAGCTCTAGTTGGGTCTGTGTAGAAAAGGGCACGTGTTTCCCTGAGAGCCAAGGGCACACTTCTGGTTTCCTGCCAAATCCACAAGTTTTGGAAATCCTTCACTTAATAGGAACTCAACTAGAGCTACACCCCCAGTCCTCCCCCGAAATGGGAAGACTGTTGGTTTGTGTTTTCACAATATGTTTTTCAGGGAAATGATAGTGTGTTTAATGGATAAACTTTGTTTGACTGAGCTCTAATTAGAGTAAGTCAGGAAACTCCTGCCACTGATAGCTGGACTTTGCTGTGGGGGTGTTTAATGGTACTCAAAAGCTATTTCTGAGKGTTTTTTGGAGGGATTTTCTTCTAGGAGGTAAGGGGACCCCCTATGAGCTGTAGGTTTGGAAGATTTTGCTGAATTTTGCTTGGAGGGTTTACATTTATGTTGTTTATCTGGGAAGGGTTTTSGGAACCTGCTGTCTGCTCCTGGGGCTGGAGGAGGGACATGACACAAGCAGGGCTGGAGTGAGCTGGGAAAGGAGCCACAATTCCTTCCATGGACAATGTTTGCCTGTCCTGGGCACTCCCAAAGGTGTTACTGTCTTCCTTAACTGTCCCTGCCCTATCAAACTATGGAGTGAAGCATGGAAGGAGCTGTCATGGCCCATCCCTTAAAAAAGAGTTGAGAGAAGGTGCAGTTCAAGTATTCAGATGTGAAATTGATATCACCTGTTTCAGAAATAAACCCCAAACTATCCAGACAGAATGTGTTGGCCAACATTAAGCAGGTTGGTTTGGTTTTGGTTTTGGTTTTATTTCCTATTATTGATCATTAACCAATTGAACCGATTTCTGTTCTGAAGGAGAATTTTGAGCTAGGAAATGTGTCCTCTGCAGGGAGAGGAGCCCCAGCCATAGGGAAAGAAACAGAGAAGGAGTTGTACTCAGTTCAGATTCTTATTTGCTGAGGTGAAAGATAACTGAGGAAGAGGGTGAATCTCCACTGGGTGTGTTGGGATGGTGAATGGCTGCTCTGGGTGCATCCTAAGTGAGCTTTGCCTCACAAAAGCAGAGCTGGAGCTGATTTATCATTGCTCTCAGCACTCCTGCAGTGGCAGTTATTCTAACTCAGAGGTGTTTCCATTCCTTGTTGGAGAAGCAGCAAGGCCACAATGTAAGGATTAAGATAAAAATCAAACCTGACTGTCAGAGGTCACCAAGGGACACAGAAATGATTCTGGGAATGTCCTCATAGCAAGGAGGTGGTGGAGGAGAGAACAGAGAGGAAAATTTAATGTCTGGCATCCGCAGAACTGGAGTCTTCAGCACCTTTTGACTCTTGGTGAGCAGCTGGTGGTAATGCCAGGCTACAAAAAGAAAGAGCAGCTTTGCAAGCTGCCGTTTCAGGGAGGTATTTTTGTCTGTGTGCTCAAAGCACCRACTGAAAAAGACCTGAAAAGCTTTAGGAGGCGTCTTCCGAGACATGGAAAGTTGGTGATGTTTTTAAAGCCTGGAGGAGAGCAAGCAATTGGTGTGGRTGAAAGAGTGGGACAAAGAGAATGGGGAGTAGTAATCATCCCAAAATCCTACAACAAGTGGGAAATGGTTGAAAACCCCCTGACAAGATACAGGGAGTGCAGAATAGCCAGTGCTGCTTTGCCACTGGCAACGGTACTTCCTTGGCAAGGTGAGTTTGCTCGTTCTAGGATAAAGTACCAGGGCTGTTTCTGGCTGCAGAAAAGCTGCTGTGTGTCATGARTCCTCCTAAGTTTTGATTTTTATCCAAATAAGAATCTGGAGTAGGTGAGATTAAAACASATTCAAAGCTTAAGAAGGTGCCAGTCTACAATGGATAAAATCTTGGTTAAATAAATGTATTCAGAGCAGCAGTAACAGCCTCATTAATGGGCCTGGGTGTACTGAGAGGGGCACTTGGGATCTCTGGGGTCTCCCTCATCACTGGAGTGGCAGAACAGACTGTGCATTTTCAAGTTGTAAATGCATGAAGCAGGGAAGGGCTGCACGTGTGATTCAGGAATGAGAAACAGGTTTGAGCAATTAAACGTGGCTTGAAAATGGGCTGGTGATGAGGAAGGACTGTGGTGAGGTTGGGATTCAAGCAAAAATAG